CCCACCCCCCGCGGCCTCACCGCGCCTCTCCCTCCTCCCGGTGACACACCGAGTTCTCCCTCGGCCGCACAAAAGAAACGCGTCTGGCCTGTAAGTCCCGCGCGGCTTGTGCCCACCTCGAGCCCCAAATGACTTGTTTCGCTCAGAATCAGCTGTCTGGGCCGAGAAGTCCCCAGGCCCGGGACGAGAACAGCTCAGGATGAGCGAATGTTCACTGAGCAGGATCGCACCGAGCCGGCGCTTTCGAGCCAGAGCCAGGGCAGGGGCAGAGCCCGGGGCCGGTCCCGCCAGCTCCCAGCAACGTCCTCGTCGAGGGGCCCGCGGCCCCTCCTTCCTCGGCCTCTTCTCCCGGGACCTGAGCCCGACTGAGTGACAGCAGCCTGTGCTCTAATGGGCCCCCGGATGCTGCCTCCTAATTAGCTTGGACCCTCTCCCCCAAGGCTGCTGCTTAGGTCCCCGCCTCTGCACCGCAGTCAATTTTCCGGGATTGGGATAGAACTGATGGCTTCTAATCAGACGAAACGTTTCTGTTGGCTCCAGGCCGCTGGCGAGTGCAGCAGGAGACCCCAAGAACCCCGGCCAGGCCCCACAACCTCTTCTATAGGGCTCTCTCCCCTTGTGTTGCACCCTTAACCCGCCTGGCCAAATCCACCAGGCCGGGGCCTTGGCAGTCACGGGGTGGGCCTCTGCCCCCTTCAGGGCAGGTTTGTAGCCGCCTGGGGCCTCCACTCGGGCTTCCCAGAGCTGCAGGCACAGGCCTGGCAGGCCAGGTGACTGCAATTTCTCAACCCTGGGCCTGCAGCCCAGGAAGCCTGCAGTGGAGCTTCTCTCATGGGCACAGGAAAAGACATTCCCCTCCCCACCCCTAGGAATGATCCCCTCTCCTTGAGTCCTACTTCAGTGAAGTTTGTTGAAGAATTTTGCTCAACAATTGTTAACTGGTTCGGAGACCTCAGAGTCTTAAGTAAATAGGTGTCAGCTGGGGTGATAGGATGCGACCCTGACCTGTTTTTCTGGCCACAGCTGGACCCCAGGCTGCCCTGTGCTCCTCACTTGCTGACCAGTTCCACCAGGCAGGAGCAGTG